CATCCCTGGCAGTGTTGAAGGGCAGGTTGGATGGGGCTTGGAGTAACCTGGGCTGGGGGGAGGTGTCCCTGCCCATGTCAGGAATTTGGCTGGATGATCTTTAAGGTCCCTTCCCACCCAAACCAGTCTGGGATCCTGTCAGCAAGCTCAGAGCTGTGTCCTTGGCAGCCCCCAGAGCCTTGGCACGGGGGTGAAGCCCGTCCCGGGACAGGCTCCTGCTTGGGGGCTGCAGGTTGAGTCAGGCCCAGCTGCACAACCCCTTGCAGGTGCTGCCCTCCCTGCTCTGCCTCTTCTTCCATCCTCGGGGAAACACTTCGGGCTCCAACAACAGCCCCAGCAGCTGCTGTGGAGCCACCCAGCCCTGCCCAGGCAGGGGGTCCTGGGTGGGTGGGTGGCAGCAAAACCTTGATTTAACCCCTCACCCCTGAATGCTTCAGGTTTTTTTTCCAGCACAGAGAGGAAGGGCTGTGCCACTCATGAGCCAACCCCTCCTTATCAGCCAACCTTCCTTATCCCAGCCTGCCCAGCCACTCACCCAGCCTTTCCCCTCCACTAACCCTGCCTTTCCCCCTGCCCAGGCGGCTGGAGGTGCAGGATGCCTTTCTCCTGAGCCCTGAGCCCAGCAGGAAGAGGTCCCGGTCCCTGGGGAGCGATGTCCGGCAATGGGGAGCACTGGAAATCCCTGGGGATCAGCCGGAAGGAGCTGGCGCTGGCCGAGGCCTTGCAGATGGAATACGATGCCCTCTCCCGGCTGCGGCAGGACAAGGAGGAGAGCCGGGCCAAGCAGAGAGGAGACCAACCCCCCAGCTCCTGGGGTGACCCCGCCGACAGGAGCGGCTGCGCCGGCATCAAGGCTGCGCGTGGCCTCTCCGGCTCTGACCCCACGCTCAGCTGCAACGTCCCGGGGGCACCCGAAGGTTCCCCGGGGCCTGGACCCCCACCTGGACCCAGCTCCCCGGACCCCCAGCCCTGGCTGAAGGGACCCTTGGCTGAGGATTACCTGTACATCTTCGACGGGTCAGGGGGGGACTTCCTCGGGGAGCCGCTCAACGGCACCTCACCCCACGGCGGGGGCAGCTCCCCCAAAAAGCTCTCGCCGCCCCCGCTGCCCCCCAGGAACCTCCTTTGGAGCTCCCCCGAGGGGAGCCAGCACTCGGGGAAAGGTTCCCCTCCGTCCTCCAAAGGATCCCAGCCCAGGGACATCAACATGTTCTCAGCAGCCCACGAGCGGGCTCAGGGCAAGCTGCTCGGCCGCCGCATCTCCGAGGAGGATCCCTACGGCATCAACGACGCCATCACCTGCCTCAACCTCAAGTCCACCTACGAGTCGGAGGTGCTGCGGGAAGCTGCCCGTGGCTGGAAGGAGGGCAGGAGCATCTTTGAGAAGGAATCGAGCGGCAAGCCGGTGGCACGGAGCAAGACCATGCCCCCCCAGGTCCCCCCGCGGACGTACGTCTCCCGCTTCGGCAACCGGAAGAACCTGGCGCCAAACAAGAACCGCAGGATCTCCATCGACCCGGTAAGAGGCTTTTCTCTCCCTGCTTTGGAGGTGGGATGGAGCCGAGGTGCTGGGGAGAGACCAGAATCCAGTGCTGGGGTGTGAAGCAGGCAGTGGGTGCCCGTGGCTTTGCTGTGTCTCCTTCTCTCCGGGTTGCTTTTATTTGTCCCGTGGCTCCCCAGAATCTTGTTCGCACATCGTGGTCGGAGACATCGTCCCTGCAGGTTAGTAAGACCTTTCCAGGTTGTGCAGCCCCCCGGGGGGTGTGGGATGATGGCCAAAAGCCTCTGGGTGGGTGAACCAGGGCTGGAAAGCCAAGCAAGTCCCACCCAGGAGTCACTGCTGTCTCCAGAGGCCACGCTGCAGGTGGTTTGCAGTCAGCTCGTGTCCTGCCAACTCATTAAATGTCACAAGATCCTCCGGAAAGAGCTGGGAGTCTCCTCCCGATCGCTTTCCTGTTCAGCTCCCAACATCCTTTCCCATCCCAGCTCCCTTCTTCCCTCCATCCTGCATGGAGCAGGATTCCTCCCCTCTGCACATGGAGGTGTCAGGGGGCTGCTGGCCCTGCCACCATCTCTCTTCCAGGGCTGCCAGGTCCCCAGCGGGGTGCCTGGTGCAGGGGCAATGCCCCAGCTCTGGTGTGGCTCATCCCACCTCTAGCAAGAGGAGGAGATAAATAATGGGAGAAGTCACCTTCCTCACAGGGTTCCCCCTCCCCAGGAAGAGAGGGGTGCAGCTGGCAGGGGCTACCTAAGTCACTCGCAGCTTTCTGAGTGCCAGAAGCTAATTATAGAAAAGCATTAAAATAGTCTTTAGCGGCTGCTGTGTTCCCTGCCTTTCTCTGCCTCCCGGGAGCTCTTGGCTGGGTTAATTGCTCTGACAGTGGGGCCATTGTTCCCTGAATGGGAGCCCCGGGACCCCCAGGCGTGGGGGGAGGCTGGCACGGTGATGCTGCATGTCAGGAGGGAGGTGTGCAGGATTGGGTGTGGGCTCTGCTGTGACACTTTGGTGGCCTGGGGACAGTCCCTGTCTATCCCGTGTCATCCTCAGGTCCATCTCTGCCCAGCCGTTTTCTCCCTGGGGAATGTCCCAGATGGAGCTTTTGGAAATGAGTGGTTTTGTAGGCAGAGGGCTGGGGACAGCAAGGCCTGGGGGTGTCCCTTCTCCTGGCTTTGGGGAAGGTGCTGGTGCAGATGTGGGTGACACATCCTGTGGCCTGGTCTAAACCCCTCCTGTGCTGGACCATGTCCCCCTTAGTGCTGCTGCAGCAGTGGTGGGAGGAACAAGGCTCTGGGTGCCCAGTGCTCTGATGGGGGGATCCAGCAAATCCCATTCCAGGCAGGCAGCAGCTGGAGCCTCCAGCTGACAGGCTGGTGCTCTGCCCTGTAGGTTGCCCCCCGGCCACACTCCTTCGCCAACGGCTACGAGCTCTTCGAGGTCTCCGAGGAGCGGGATGAGGAGGTGGCTGCTTTCTGCCACATGCTGGATGTGTGAGTACCCGGCCCTTCCTGGGGCTCCCAGTGCACCCCAGGGCTGTGGTGGGACCCAAAACAGGCATTTTTTTGGGGGGTGGGAGAAAAACCCAAAGCAAGGCAGGACCTCTGAGCTGTCCCTGGCTCTGCAGGCTGCGGTCTGGCTACAGCACTGAGGACTATTCCCTCACTGGCTTGGTGTGGAGCTCTGTCAACCTCAGCCCTGAGCAGCTGGGCCACGGTGTCAGCCTGAAGGTTTCAGTG